GGGAGAGGAAAAGGGAGAGGAGACATATGCTAGGCAATGTCGCACTCGTCGCAACGCTGAGAGAGAGTCGTCCCTCGGCGCCCTTGTTGGAGTCGCACGGCGTTTTCGAACCAGCCAGTCCCCCCTCCCCTTCTCCCCACGGCACGAGGGCCCTGGAATGCGCGGGCTGGGCGCTGCGTATTAGAAGACGGCGCGGCGTAGCGTGCGGGTCGCGATAGGTCGATTCGTGCAGGGGCGGCGTCGCGCCACGCCCACCCTACTCGCGGGCATTTATGCTCGGAGAATATACGGCCAGCCTGCGTGGTATGTAGCTGGGCAGGTAGGTAGGCGGTGGGAGGAGGGGGCGGCGACCATTTCCTCGGAGCTCCCATCGAGCCAAAGCACCGGGGGAATGGGCCGCTCGTGATTTCGTTGTGCGGATTATGGCCGTACCTACACCGTGGATGCTGTGGATTTCGAAGTAGGAGGCACAGCTTCTCTAGCTACTGTGGGCTAGAGATAGTCTGGTCAGGAAAAATCGATAGTTGTCGATGGTATAGACGTCGTATGTGATAACGTACTTGCTTCTGTTGGGATTCTAGAAGACGTTACTCTAGAGCGCTCTCCATAGAGGAGGTGTGACTGAGGAGTACAGAGTAGGCCAGCCTTCTGACTGGTTACGAGCGGCGGAGGGCAATACACGGGAGCTCCAAGCCGTTCGACGTGATCTTGCGTCGAGGGAATACAGGGCGGTATGAGGTGGCTCATAGTATCCTCAAAACATACACGAACGCCGCTCGGCTTCGGAGTGATTAAGGCTCTCACCCAAAAGATCAGGGCCGCGATACTATGAGGACTTCGGTATGGTGCCCCAGCGCGGCCACTGAAGAGATCTCAATGACCCTGCCGACTGCGCTTCGACGACTCCTGCAATCATAGGGGATCGCGAGACGAGATGTCATCGACCCAGAGTTTAGAAAACCAGGCTAACCTCCTCGCCTAGTATCGAAGCGTCGAGACACTTGACGTTCGTGGCCTGTCGTGCTTCCCGGCGGTGTGGTTCGCGCTAGAGAATACCGACGGGGATGCGGTGCTCTCGACGTTGTCAGACTCGCGCTAGAGAGCAAAACCTGGTAGAGTGTTCTTCTCGCCGGACGAGGCATCCTTACGATGCATTTCGGTGCATATTTTCGGTCGATCGTGTCTTTGGCTCTGTCACTCGCCCACTCGCTCGTTCACTCGCTCTCATGCTCTCTCTTCCTCTCATACATACTCTCGCACACCGTCCTCACATTCCGGACTGATATACTGGAGGGGTAGAATAGCTCGGAATTCGCAGCTAGGTATGTTCAGGTTTACCTAGCCATATCAATTTCTAATACCTAATATAACATTATTACGGAGTCAGTAAGCGGGCTCTAGGCTTTTGTTTCTCATCACTCGCAGACTTCTCGAAGGCATACGTATATATAGGTGTGAAGTTGAGAACCGTGGGGTGGAGAGAGCTCAGGGACGCCAATCAGGTCGACGAATACGCAGATATTGGGGGGAGTGCTCACATTTCAAGGCCCACACGACGGTTTCGAGTGATCACCATCGTCCTATAGACGAGCTTGTCTCCATTCTGTGCGGGCGGCTTTTGGAAATAGGATCTCGACACTCGTCAAATCCACAGTAGATTTCTGCCCACTCTCCGCCTCCCCAACGTCTAGCTCTAAGAAAGTCGAGCAAAGGCATTGTCGTCTATTTGTAAATATTCCCACAAGTCCTTTCCATGTGCAAGGCCCCATCTGCAGATGGAAGATTCGGGAACGCCAACCACGTGGAGGTCGACGGTGTGGTCCTGTGCAGGCCAACCGACGATATCCTAGTTTCTTCAGGGGGTTTTTCTTGGGGGAGGGAGGGAGGGAGGGGCATTCTTGTCATTACTTACTTATTTGGTATTCCGTCTTTGCAGTTAAATCTGCCATTTCCAAGCAGCAGGAATTCTACTCCGACGGGCTTGCGATGGAGTAGTACAGGGGGGATAACATTATTGTACCTAAGCTATTGATAGTGACTCGTATGCCTTCCCAACCGGCCTTCTCTCCCGAGTTCCGCATTCCCATCCCACTGTCGGTAGACTGGATATGGGACCCATCTCATGCAGGGAAAACACAGCCAGACGCTTCGTTGTCTATGCTGGATCGTGTGGATTGGGCGTCACAGTGGGAGATGTTGGCACATGATCCATAGTTCTACGTTCCTATCTGGCCTACGCCCGTATCTTTTGTAGTTATGTCTCGACTACGCTGAACGTGCTGAATAGCTTCTGTTGGCCGGAGTCGAACAGCCTCTCACACGTCTGCGGCGCAGGACACGCCGTCGTCTTGGGTACGACGCCTTAGGCCTAGGTTCGCGGGTAGGCTGCTAGTTCTTCTCGGCGAATTCGTCCCGGAGACATGGGTTTATCTCGCGGCACGATCTTGGCACGGGCTGCTCTTGCGTGCGGCGGGCAACTAGGTGGCATGAGAATAATGGCTACGTCGGATTCTCTCTCTCTCTTCCTCCTCTGGGGCCTCATTAAAATGTCTCTGTGCCTATGTATCGGCGCGTTCCTACGCACGTTCCTGACATGTGAAAGGCGGCATACATGGCGAGCGGCGGGGACGGGGCTGGGTATAGGCAGCATCGAAGTCTGTACTGTGTTTACATGGTACTGTATTTATATAGTATACAGCGCAGTAAGGTGACAGTGTATGTACGAGTAATGGTATAGGTAAGTAGGTGAGTAATATATTACATTAGTTACAATCGCATGAGTGGAGCTGAACAGGAGATGGTATCGAGTTCCTCTAGGGGAACGAACAAGGGAGGATCCTCTATCGCCCGATGCCCCCCCTGGAAACCCTGGCGGGTGCTACATACTAGGGAGTGAGGCTTGTCCATAGGCGGACGAAGTCCGAGGACCTAGGGATGGCTCGGTGTGATAAGGCGTGACGATGATAGCAGCGACGACAACGATGATAATAATAAGTGGCGAACGTGGGCGAGATTGCGGGATCGCTCCCTCGTAATCCGAGACCGAGGCTATCAAATCTTTTTTTATCCATCTAGCTATGTGGAATTTGGGACGAGCGGGTAGCGCGGGCCAATGCATGGCGACATGGCTCTCGATGCTTGCGAATTCGACGGGTAACCTTGCGAGGTGCGTCTTCGAGAGATGCCTCCTTGATTCTCTCCAAACCCGACGCGTAATCCATAGTAAGAGCGCGGACGTCGCAACCTGCCCGACTGCGACGTCTCTATAGCGCGAATCGAGCCAAGCTGTTTGCTGATTCGGACAGATCCTTCTGATCTTCAGTGCATACATGCATATGCCTTACATAGACTCAACTCATACCTACATGTATACCTAACAGGCCTGCCTGCGTATGGAAACGAGACATACCTACCGATATGCGGACGTGCATAGACCGAGTGTCAGCTTGCAAGTCGTTGCTGCACGCCGTCAGGGTGACCAGATACGATATGCGAACTCCAACACCGTCGACCGGTGTAGATTATATCGGGGGCGAGAAGCGGCATTCCTTGGGATACAGGTAGAGTAAAAGTGGACGAGTAAGAGCCATCTCTGTTATCTACGTGACCGCATGCATACTAACGCCTCGAACGTTTTGCTGGGCGAGGTGCGGTCGAATATAGGTAAGCTCGTAGCTGTCGTATCGACGTTGCGCTCCCGGTTACAAAGGCCGGTTACAAAGGCATCTTTTATGCCCCGACGGTGTTACTATCTACATACGCACGCAGTATTTATTGCCCATCCGATCTGATAGGCAGACCGAGTTAGGGTCCATTCTGAATAGCGATTTCGCCGTCGGCCGTCGAACCCCCGGAGCGCGCTGCGGTTAGCATGTCCATACGTCAGATGGGCGTGTATAGAGGGCAGGGAGTTGGTAGACTGTAGGCGCTTTCGCTCCGGGACGGCGGGCGCAGGAAAGTTAAAGCATCAAGCGGATGGGCGGTAGACATCACGATGAGCTCTTCCTCCCGAGATCTAGAGGCAAGAATCAGCGGCGGGACAAGGCGCTAAGCAGACGCAGATAGATCGCTAGGTAGAGCTACCTAGCTAGGTTGAAAGAGCCGATAGTAGACGCAATTCCGATCAGGGATGATATTCGTCAGTTACGCCATGGCCTCTAAAAGAAAGAGAGAGAGCCCAAACCTCCCTTACTTTACGACAGCCTTGGCCACTTTCACATGCCAAAGACAGGGGAGGGGGCTCGAGACGGCGTACGACGTAGTACACCAGCATGTAGGCTGAAGAGGAGCAGCAAAGGAGCATGGGCCCTTCACGTGTACAATACATGATGTCTCCTCTCTCCTCTTGCCGGAAGCCCACTCAGGGTGAGTGGGCTTCGAGTGGCATGTTGTCCCGGTTCGGCGCGCTGTGACACATGTTATCGCCTCGCCTCGCCTCGCCGGCAACGTGCCTCGTAGTATTGTACAGCACAGTATCTACGGGAAATCAACGCCTTGCCTAGAGCGGGCACAAGAGCTCTCTTCGGTCGACAAAAGAAGGAAAAAACCTGAGCAGAGCAGAGGCGGCGGCGACGTCGTCGTCGTCCACCAGCCCTTTTGTAACCAGTGACTTCATTAGTCTATTTACCACCTACGTGGAATGCGTCAACAAGGGCCACTCTTGTCGCTAGCAGCCAACCGAGCATGGGGATGTGATATGATGCGAGTCTTATGTACTATGTATGGGTCCCGCCCCAGCAGCGATGGGTGCCGGATACCTAGGGTAGGCCGGCATAGCCAGCAAGGTGAGGCGGGTTTCTGATAAGTCTAAGATGCCGGGGAGGAGGAGGGGGGCTCAGGAGTGAGATAGAGAAGCACATGCTAAAAAAACAGATACGAGGGTTTGCGCCGGCGTATGGAATTTGGTATTTATTGTTTTAGACGGCCCTCTCATATGATTGCATCTTGTGCTTCCTTGCTCTACTTGTACCGACACGCACACCTACACACACCTCTATCTCAAGCACACACATACCGAGAGAGCGAGACAGACAGACAGAGGGAGCGAGGGAAAGAGAAGAACATACGATACTTTTGTTTCTTCACATCCTACCTGCGAGCGTCCCGGTGGATATTGTTCCCGTCCGAGTAAGTTATTAGACGCCGGCCTCCCCTTCTTCTAACCCTGATTGACTACGATCCCCTCCCATCATCCCCTCACACCATCCGGCCCTTTCGTCCCAATTCCGTCCGGTCCATCTGGCCCAGTCCCATCCAGCATCCGACATCCTACAGACCAGCGAATAAGCCCAGCCCCAGCTCGTCCCCGCCCCTCTTCGCTTTTTTTAATACCTATCTACCCACAACCACCCATCGCTACGATCCCCCCCAAAAATTCCCCCTCGACTCTTCCTCATCCAGCTTGCTTACATCCCCTCCGAAGAAACTAGACGTCTCGCAATATTATCATCGTCACCTTTACACGCCGCTCCCATCCTAGCCGAATAACACCATATCAACGATGGCTGCTCAAGTAAACGGCGAAGTCCATCCGTCCTCCGCGACCCTGTCGGTAAGTTGTCTCTCGGGCCTTGTGTAGACCCACGGCACCCTCCGATCCCGGCTGACATCGACCGGCAGCATCTCACCGGATACCCGGTTGTCAGCGACGGCATCGCCTACTTCAAGGGGAACCCCTACGGGCAGAAATCGATAGAGCTCGGCGACTCTGCCTACAAGACCTTCGCGAAGCCGGTCATCCCTCTCCTCACCAAGCCGTACCAATACGTGGAGCCCTACGTCAAGAGGGCCGACCTGATCGGCGACGATGCCCTGACCAAGATCGACCAGCGGGTTCCCGCGCTGAAGAAACCGACGAGCGAGCTGTGGGCTGAGGGCAAGAACTTCGCCTTCTTCCCCGTCCGCAAGGGCCTCGAGACCCGTGACCACGTCTTCGACGTCTACAACTCCGAGTACAAGAAGGTCGGGGGCGAGGGCCTCGTCACGTCGGGCAAGGCCCTCGTATCTACCGGCTTATTCGTCACGAGCGAGGCCCTCGCCTGGATCAGCGACCTGCTCAAGGCCGGCAAGGTGCAGGCCAAGGAAGCCAGCTCGGAGGCAGCTCGACAGGTCAACCAGGCGACCCACCGATCCAGCCGCAACCAGAACAGTCGTTGACGGCCGTGACATCTACCCATACCTACACACCACACACCCATGTATATTCAACTAGGGGAGATAGGGCTAGTCTTCACGTGCTTTCTTTAGATACCAGGGATATTTATTTCTTTGTATTTCTCCCCCTCTCTCCTTTCCTTATCACCTTTCGATCGAAGTAGTGTCCCGAACTCGTGACGATTGAGAAAGTCGGGTTATTTTAAGAGGGGGGCACTAGGGACTCGTGTATCGCAGGGGGTGGCATAGGCGGGTCACGAAGGCTCGCTGCCGCTTCTCGGCGTCGCTTACGGAAAAAAGAGGTTCTCAAGGCGCCTCGCGAAGGCAGACCTGTCAGGCATAATAGGGATCTCGGTTCGGCTGAGGCGTCCTCGTCCGCTTTCGATTCTCGCCGACGTCCTCGCCCCGCCGCCGAGATCCGCGGAGCAAGGAGCGGAGGGCTGTAAACATACAATTAAACTAGTGCGAATTCGATCTGCATTGTGCGTTTATGACAGGACGGGACACGGGGAAGGAATGAGGCGAGAGGTCGTCGATACTAAAGTAAACAGGTTAACTTGCTGGTCTGTACTATCGTCAGCATTGCTAATTGGCGGTTCCCGCTTCTCGCGCTCCCTAGGCACACTCCGTTCGCCGTATGTGCTGTAGAGACGGAATAGGAGCTTAGCAAGGTACCTATAAAGGCACCGGAAGGCTCTGGCCGTATAGTACTGAGGATCGAAGAGGCATTGGACGAGATACAATCAGACGAACTCGATCGAGAACCGGGTCCTTACAACGGCTCGACTATACTTCTATGACTAGCGAACGGAGCCAGCCGATGGGACCACGCAGGCGACCTCGGGTTAAGGGTTGATAGGATGTATGGGTTGGGCCAGACAGTCGCAACCGCGTTCTCAGGAGGGTGTTGTTCTTTTTCCCGTCTCCGTCACAGAACCGACTTGCACCTATAATTTTTGGCACCTTTTTGATGACCGATATGCTGGCAGGTGGCAAGCCAGCTGTCAGGGGAAATTTTCCAGTGGGGTCCACCAATAGCAAGATTATCATCTTAATCGACCCGGCAACCGCTCCACTTCCAGAATAAACATCTGAACAATACACAAATCCTGGCTTTTATCAATGAATAACCCTACTAATGCACACGTCCCCATGCCTGCTGCGTACGCACACTAACCAGGTCACCAGAGAAGACAGGTAGAAGGCTTTTCTCCTCCTGCTTACGATTGCATTGCCTCCATAGCATGCGGAAAGACATCTACATCTCTACATATCTATATCTCGCAAGTCCTCAACAAGTCTGTTGTCGTCGCAATCCACCAGCCGGACGGGGCGCCTGCAACACACAGACGATTTGACCCCGAGAAGAATAATTCTCGATCTCTCCCTTGCACAATTTGCTCCACTTGCACTCTCACCGCTCCTAGCGGATAAACAAATGATCAATCTCGAGCACTCGAGCCCACCGGGCACGCCTGGTGCCGCACCCCTACAGCCCATGTCGTCCGACCGCGTCAACCAGCAACGAGATTCTCCGATGGTCTCCCCCATTCGAACCGAACACCTCCGTGACAGCGATGTCCACGATAAGATCCGGCAGTTCAATAACCTGGCGCACACCAACCCCGCTCACGGAGCATCCATGTCGAGACAGCTCGAACGAAAGACGGCAGACGCTGCCCTGAAGCGCGCCATGCTCGGCCGCGAGGAGGCAGAAGGCGAGATGCGTCGCTATAGGGATGAGGCACGGGCCCTGCGCAAGCAAGTCGAAGAAAGTCGTGGCCGAGAACGCAAAGTTGGTGAGCGATTGGAAGATGTCATGGTACGTTCTCGTCACGATCCAGGAGGCAGGAATGGCCGAGTAGCTTGCGCGAGTCTTGCTAACCGTCGGCCGACGCCGTGCAGGAGAAATACGGACAGGCGAAGGAAACCTTGTCACATAGCAAGACCATCTGGGAAAAAGAGATCCGACAAGCACGCAAGGAAGTTTTCAGGACACAGTCGTCTATCGTCAAATTGCAGGAGGAACTCAAGGCGGCGCGGAACGCCTACAAATCGGTCGAGGAGTGTCTAGCCCGCGAGAGGGATCTCAGCAAAGCCAGGGAACAGGAGGCCTTCGCGTCGCGCCACCAGCTCGCTGAGGTCCACGACCAACTTGAGAAGTCGCTCGAGCGCATCGAATTCGTCGAACAGGAACGCGACGCCTACAAGGCCGCCGCGCAGAGCGAGGAGATCGCCAGGGTCGCCGCCGAGGGCCGGCTGCCGCTGCCGCCCGAGGAGCCCAACAGCGAGTTCGCATCGCCGAAAAAGGGGGCCCGCGTTTCACTATCCACCGCCGACATCTCGTCTTCTGCCGCGAGCGAGGCCGAGATCGAGGAGCTGACGCGTCTGTGGCAGTGGGAGAAGCAGCGGGCCGATCGCGCTCAGGACCACCTCGAGTTCGTCCAAGCTGAGTGCCAGCTGCGATGCTGTCCCCGCGCCCGCGCCCGTCCACGACGGAGCCTCCAGACCCCCGGACGCCATGAACGCCAGAAGTCGGTCCCGATCGTAGATGCAGCGGATCTCGTCATCCTAGGCCAGGAGCCCAGATCGTCCGTGAAGCCCGCCTCCGAAGAAACCAAGCCTCAACCCGAACCGCAGCCCCAGTTTCGACCCGAACCCCCGAGAGAAGAGCGAGAGCCTTCACAGCCCAAGAGGATGGAGTCACCGACCGAACACATCCCCCAGAGAGAGAGGTCTAAGGAACCCAAGGAGCCCAGGCGGGGGACCATCTTCCTGCCAGCCGAGGGCATCTTCCGGACGATCTCACAGGAGGACCTCCAGGAGGCAGCAGCGGGAGGCAAATCAGAGGAGGTGGCCGTGCCGTCAGAGCTACCGACACCCGTGGACCCCCCGTCGCCGGGGGAGGACGTACAGCCGCGGCGCGCGGTAATGGCGCCGCCACCGCCAATGCACTACTCGCGGACGCCGTCAGTGGACCCGCCGACGTTCGCGCTACTAGCACGGGAGCGCACGTCGCTGCTCTCGCTGCTCAACGCGCCGCACCAGGGCGACGCTCCCTTCGCGCTGCTGAACGACATCCCGACGATCCCAACGACGCCGTCGGACCCGCCCTCGTCGCGCGACGGGCCGCCCGCTGAGCCGGAGGCGGACGACGAGGAGAACCACCGCACCACCGTGCTGCACCACCACAACCACAACCACAACCACAACCTCCACCGCCAGCACGACGTGCCGCGCCCCGACACCGCGGCCACCGCGCCGAGCGCCGACGCAGAGACCCGGCGGCGGCGCCAGCAGCACCCGCACGCGCCGCCGTCGCGGGCGCAGACCTCGGCGGCGTTCTACGCGGTAACGACGACGACGACCACAGTGCCGGTGCGGGACAGCGGCGCGAGCAATACGAGCAACACAAGCGGCGGCGGCTCGCGCACGCCGTCCTTCGACGTCAACAACCCGGCGATGACGCCGACGATGACGCGCGAGCAGGCGCTCGCCCAGATCAAGGAGCGCCGGGGCCGCGCCCGCAGCGCCGCCCAGCAGCACCCGGGCGGCCACGGCTCGTCGGGGTCCGGGTCGACGGCCACGACGCCTAAGAGGCACGGCAGCGGCACCGGCGAGCGCAGGGACGTGAGCGCGCCGGCGGGACGCGCGGCGAAGGCCCGGCCGTCGTGAGAGCGCGCTCTGCTTGCTGGCGAGAGGCTGCTAACGCGGCCGGCGGCCAGAATCCGCCGGCTAGGAGGGAGCGGGCGCGCGGAGCCCTGTTGTGCTGTTGCCGGAACAGGCGGGACGGGACGGATGGATAGACGGGCGGGGAACGGGGCGGGGCCAAGATGGCAGGGAAATGTGCGTGCGCCTTCGCAGGTGCTGTAGGAGGAGGGGAGAGTCGAGGCATTCATTCGGTTCTGTTCTCTTCGGTTCGTCTGTCATCGCATTCCCCACTAAGGTGCCCCGGCGTCCGGGTGGTCTGGCTGTCTGTCTGTCTTCCTGTCGCTCACTCGCTCGGTCTCACGAGAACTGCATTTTCGTCGGCGTTTATACTCTTTCCTCTTCTTCGCACTCTTTTCTCCCTCTCTTCCCCCCTCCTCCCTGTCTTCCTCCTAGTTTTCCATCGTACGGGCGAGAAGGCATGGCGAGGAGGGAGAGGAAAGAGGGGGTGGCGTGGCCGAACACGGACCTGGGTGTTATTAAAACCCCCATCGTTTTCTTTTCCGTTCTTGCGTCCTATTATACCTCTGTCTATTATTGCCGCTGCCACGCCGCCACTGCTGTTGCTACTACTACTAGCACTACTACTACCTCCTCTCGCACGTCCGACTGATTTGTCTATATCCTCACGACGTAGATGACGCTTGGAGCATTCGGAGGGGAGTTTCTTGTCTTGAGATACATATAGTTCGTCCGCCCACGCGTACACACGGCGGGTTAATGGGAGAGATCACTACTACGTAGGTTATACATACAACTGCGTCATATACGTTTGCCCTGTTCAAATTTCTAGATGCTGCATGCTATGCAAGATTAGCTGGCGAAATACGTATGCGGCCTTGCCATCGTATATAGGTATATGTATATATATATCGCCTAGCGATAGACTCCGGTGGTTTCTCGTAGCAGCAGACGCCCGTAGGGACCAAGATTAGGCTCCATGCCGAAAGCATGAGTTCGGGACTGAGTGGTTATACAACAGATTACCCGTTCGCTTGCTTGCCATCGCATCCGTCTCCCAAGACATCCCAACTACAGCACCCATCCGACGAACGCAGAGGCATCAGGCTTACGCGCCACTCAGGAGCGTCGTCTCGGGCGACGGTATCGGGATCTTCCCTGCGATGATCTCCACCGCATCGCCCGAAAGCAGGATCTCCTCGATCTTGGTGCGGGTGGTGTCGAGGGTCACTCGGACGCGGATGTCGCTGCCGCGGCCCATCTCGACGCCCAGGGCGACGCGGCGCGTGCGGCCCCGCCGCGTGCCCCGTCAGGCTGAGGAATGCGCACAGGCTCCGCGCGTCCGCGCCCGCCGCGACGCCGAGGTCCACGTGGAAGTACGTCATCACGAGGCCGGCGCGCTAGCCCTCGTCGAGGGCGTTCTGCGCCGCCAGCGCGCCTAGGTCTAGCAGCTGCGCTAGGATCGCCGTTATGCCCCGCACGATGCTGACCACGGGGTGGTGGCCGGCGAAGGGTGCGTCGGGACGTACACGTCGTGCGCGACGGCGAGCTGCGCGCCGCCGCCGGCTCTCCCCGGCAGCGCCCGGAAGGGCACGTAGCCGGCCTGGGTGACGAGCGCGTCCGCCGCGCCGAGGCCCAGGCGGTGCAGCAGGTAGTTGGCGGTGCCGAAGTCAAGGGCCATCATGAGGCTGATTTGATTGGCGTGGGCGGGTGTGTGCTGGGGGAATCCGAGCGGGATCTGTGTTGGTGACTTATGCGTTGAAGATACCGCACTTCGCCCGAGCAGAAGTCCACGGACCGTCGCTACTTATAGATGGCTGTATGTGCGAGTTTCTACGTTAGCCAACGCAACTCATCTCTGCAGATGGATCATATTTATGTTCCTTCGATCCTCGGCAGCCTCGGCAGCGTCCCGCGAGGTGGACGAACCCACTCGTCGGTCGCGGGCGAGGTGGCCATACACCCGTCGCGGTGTCACTGTCCCGTAGAGATGGTTGGTGACTACGAAGCTTGAAAGCGCAATGCAGGCAGACAGACAGTGGTGGTTCTCCGCGGATGTCGCTGGTACAAGACGGGGATAAATTTAATAACGATGGTTTATACACCTACGCTGTAGTTGCATTGCATCGCGTCGGCGAGGGCGCAATGAAAAGGAGACCATTATGTTCATCTTTAAGCGGACGCTACAGCGAGATCTACAGCGACGGGCATCGCCGAGTTGCAATTTGGGACATGGCAAACTACGTCCCTTGTCGGGTGGGCCTATGGGTTGATGGACTCGCCGTAGACTTCTTGGAATCGCGTCGCCTTGTGACTATGTGCTTGTCCTCGAAGCTAGGTAACGTAGCAGGAATCCAGCCGTGGAGAGTTATGGTAGTACCGGAGTTTTCTCGCTTTGCTAGATCGGCCGAGGGCTTCTCAATAGACCTCGAAATATAGCTAGGGGTAATAGAATAGGGCTCGCGTTAAGACTACGGTAACGAATAACCCGCGGCAAATTCGTCCTCTCGTCCTTCTCGCTGGCCTAACTGAGGAAAGCTAACCGCATTGAAGCGAGCCGCCAGCTCCATGTTGCGAGCCCTTACGTGCTACCAGCCGGCAGCAGAGAGGAGGAAGAGAAGACATATGCCGAAATCAGCGATGCCTAGTTACCTCGAAGTTAGGTAGAGAGGAGGGAAGGGGAGGGCAGGGGAGGGCAGGGTACTTGCACAGGTAAACAAACCGTAGATAGCTTCGATGCCGCAACAGAAACGTCCGGAATGGCGACAGAAGAAATAAAAATAGAATAAGCTCGATGCGACCTTCCAATTTCAGCCGGCTATCCCGTTCTCTGGTCCATTTCTCGACCCGTTTCCCTGATGTCGACTCCGCACCCGTGCCGTCGCGACTCGCGAAGAGTGCAAGGCGAGCCACACATCTCTTAGTGGCTGGAGAGGGTCTCCAACCTATCGTGGGGAACGAGACGGGTCGAGTTGGGGGCGTAGACCGGGGTTGGAGCCGGGGGGGCGGCGAGGAAGAGGTACAACTTACAGGACGAATCCCAGCCCAGCACCGCCTCACCCTCACACACAAGGCAGAGAGCCAGCGCAAGGCATTGATTCCCAAGTGATTGCAAATCTCCACTGCTTTATCGTCCAAATACCCTCAGCTGGGCTGGCTTACCTGACAACTCGTGTGTCCAACCACCCCCGGTGACGACGACGGCGACGACGACGACAACCACAACAACCGCTGAGTTGTCACTACTACTGCTGCTGCCACTGCCGCTACTATTCCTGGCTACGGAATCCAGCCCAGCAACACACAGAGACGTCGACCGCGCATTATGAGGTCCTTGGCCGCCCGTGCTTAGTTGTTTTCCACTATGCTGGGTTTACGGAGCAACGGTGACAGCATCAGCAGCGGCGGTCATAGCAGCGGCCATGCCTCGTGTTCACTTGTAAATCGCAGCAGCAGAATCACCATCATCATCGCCATCAATCATGAACGCTTCTAAGATCCCGGGGGAGGCCAGCAACGGCCGCGACGTCTTCCATCTCCCGCCTTCGGACCCTAAGCTCATCTCCAAAATACCGAATATTCTCCCCCATGAACGCGTCTTCCCCATCCAGATAGGATCTGAACTGTTTAAGCTCTCCGGCGCCTCCATCTCCTCGGACGGTGCGTGCAATGCGGCCCTCAACCCAACCCCTTCTTGTTATCGTGAACATCAAGCTCAGGCTCTCAACCCTCCCCCCCTCCTCTATTGCCGCCTTCAGCCACATATGACAGTGCATTTGCCCATTTCCTTCCTGTACGCCTATTGGTGAAGGCTCGTCTTAGACAGTACCTTTTTTTTTTAACCATTGCATTGCTGACATCGCTGCCTAGCTCCCTCTTACTTCTCCCAGTACTTTCACTGCCAGATCAAAAAGGCCGAAGAAACTGGTGAGGACCTGTCGACAGCAATACGGACCCTCTATATAGATCGGGATCCCATCACCTTCAAGGACATCTCTCTCCACCTGCAGGGGTATCATGTCTCTCCCCGCGACGGGACGCACTTTGTGCGCCTCTTCGCCGACGCCCAGTTCTACACCCTGCCCAAGCTGATGTCGCAGCTCTACGAAGAGTCCATCTTCATTTCCATTGGCCACCACGAGTTCCAGATCCCCCGGGATGTCTTCTCCGGGCCCGGCAACTCGCCCAACTTCTTCTCCTTAGGCTTCGGCGTCTTCTTCTCGTCGCGTGATGAGATCTTCCCGGGGCTCCGGCGCGAGGGTCTCATCCGACCGCCCTCCATCATGCCACCTTCGGTGCCGAACCGGTCCGCCCAGATTTTCCAAGAGATCTTGCACCTGTTGCGCGGGTATCCGGTGCACATCCGCGACGAGGAGCACCGCGCCGCCCTGCTCCGCGACTGTCGCTATTTCAACTTCAAGGGCATCGAGCAGAAGCTCATCCCGCACCACATAAGCTACAACCTCTGCCGGCGGCGGTACGAGATCACGCTTAGGCTCGAGGACATTCTAAAGTCCGGCATCTCAATCGTAAGCGACCCCATGACGCCGAGCAGCAACGGCGATCCCGTTTCGGGGTGGGTCAACTACATGCGACCGTTCGAGGACGACAAGCAGCATGAGCTCGTGCTCGAGGTCGGGGGCGAGAATACGAAGCTGCATCTCAGCATAATGCGGGCCGAGTTTTTCGGCCAGATCAAGGTCCGCATCGCGAGGCTCTTCGAGGTGATCGCCACGAAACTAAACCTGCCGCCCACGACGCAGCCCTTAGGACTCCTGATGGCATCGGGCGGGGCCGGGAGCCAGCCGGCGACGCCGGGCAACACGCCGCTGAGCGAAGACCTCGTCCGCGTCGTCATCGAGCCCGAGACCCACATCATACTCGACGGCAAGGTGCTCAACAACAACGCCGAGGTCGAGGAGATCCCGGTCGCCGTGTCAGTGTCGCCATCAATCGGCCACGGCGGCGGGCAAGACTCGCCGCTCTCCAGCATAGGCGGATTCTACGGGCCATCGCGGAAGAGGCGGCGGATCGACCTGTCGAGCCACACAGCAGAGGAGTGGATAATCCGGACGGGCCAGTGGCGGCTCCGGATACAGGGCTCGAAGAACGGCAAGAGCGCCGTCGAGTGCGTGCTCGTGGCGGTCAAGCTTGAGGCGTTCAGCAACGAGCATGCGAGGAACTCCCAACGAGGGTTCCTAAAGGGCTGAGGGCGGGGGAGAGAAGCGCACGAAGGACGGCGGGCCATGTGCCGAACCACTGCTCTTGTACTCGCATCATTTCAGGATTGTCCTCACGTCTGTACCTGTATGTGCATGGTGTATGAAAGATGAAAGATCATATCCAATGTTCATATCCGCGAGTTATCTCGATGCAACGTATGAAGAGATGCGAGGGAAGAAAGGCAATGCTCGCCCCATACAAACCCCCCTCTTCCCCTCCCCTGCTGCTAGGTGAGGCATCTAGGAACTATGTGATGCCTCCGAGTCTAGTTTACCTGGTCTGGTCTGGTCTTCCTCCAACCGAGGAGCCCTCCCTCCGCTCTTATCGCCCGCAACGCATCCAGGGCCTAGGGTTTCATTTAAAGGTATACCTATCGAGTGAATTCGTATTTATGTATCTGTAATTAAGGCTACATTTAGCTACTATATCGACAATGTCGGCAGACCCCGATCGGCAGTGACTCTGCAATAAGTAAAAGCGGCGTAGAAAGTCGACTTTTATTCGAAGTGATTCCTGTACTAATCCTTCCAACCTCCAGGTCGTCTTGTCGTCGGAGATCATGTATCACCCAGAAGCCGTTCTAACCAGCAACGAGCACGAGGACATCAGGAATTGTCTGGCTCAACCTAGGTATGTCGAATACCTACATCCTCTCGGCTGAATATTTGATAAATGGCGTCACGCGGTCGTGTGATAAATCTGAACTCGAGCGAAGTCTCGCGCTAGCATCCTCCCCGTTTAAATATCGGGCCATATACGACGATATATATGCCACACGACCGGATATTATCCTCCTGCCAGAAATTGTCGTCCTGGAAAATCACGTCTCACTGTGAGCGATCGAAGATCTAGGTAACACGGCGCCTTCCACCCCCGATATGGGAGACTCAAACTCCCTAGAAACAATGGTTGTGGGATGAGACCGTGCCATCACATCGCAGAACCTGGGACATCACGACGCTACTGGCGTCTCCGGAAACGGCATTTATGCGATGTGCATGGACCGGCTGGCCGGCTGTGTGCGAACAGGCGTGGCTCACGCCCTTATCGCGCCAGGGTCTGACCACCGCCCGCCCCCCGCCCCCCGGCGGAGATCAGATTCGTCTCAGCGGAGTGGCCGCACGCAATTGGGCCGCCGCGGCCGATCGTCAGCCCGCACAACCTCGCCGTCGCCAACTGCCACTTCCATGCACATACCAGATACAGCAGTGTCTCCGGTCCGTGCGGCGAGCTACGAAGGAGATCAATGCCGGCGCGCCCGCTCGCGAGAGTCTGTGGTACCTGATCTGCTGTTCGTTGGCAGCCGTTGGGACGTGCTGCCAACCACGGTCGTGGTAACGGTGACGGACGAAAGGGATAAGGTGTCCGAGGGCGAACTCGTGTTTTGGCGAAGAGCAGTCTATTCCCCCTCCTCCCCCCTCTTTTCCGTCTCCTTTCTGCTCGTGGGCCAAGCCGTACCTACGTCAACGCTCTCGGCCCACAACGCGAGGGCCTATCCGTCGTCCTCTCCTCACCCACGTGTCAACGTTGCGTAATGTCATAACAGGTGTGTGTAGTAGCAGGACAGAAGCACCGGATTCTGAAGGATGGGACAGGCACGCCTTAGACGCAGCAGTGCCGCACGGTCGTAGTCCAGTTGTGAGGGGTCTTATACAATACCCGGCTACCTTCGTGCGTGACTACTTCACTCAATAGCCTATCTTGTAGGTAGGCGAAGAGGTGGTGTACGCTATGACAAGTTTCTACTCTACCCTTGAACCCACCGGCTACAGTGCACCTTCAACCTTTCTAGTTCGTCCTAGTTTATGGGATTCTGGATACCTTACAAACGACGCGGGCGGAGGATTTACGTTCTCGAAGCCCCTTTCGAAGGGAGTCTATGGTTTCCGGAATGCTCTCCGCGGGGATTCATTCTAGTAGACGTCCACTTACTCTTCTTTTCTGCACAAGTCACAACACTCCACTTGAAGAATAGCTTAGCGGTCACTTTTACCGCCGACGTGTCCCCCAGAAATGCATCAGTCAGCGAGGGTTGGCTCAACGACTGGATAGGACCTGGTCGGCTTACATGGTGTGGATATTTCAATGCATATTGTGTCTTGGAGATGGGAGGTCTCCTTCTTGGCTGCTTGACACGTACAACTAGGAGACGGCAGCCTTCTATGCAGTGTTAGATTCGGGTGTCATCAGGGAAAGGAAGCAGTTCGTACCTACCCGACCGCCGAATGCCGCGATAAAGCTTCGTGATACTCCCACCCATCCATATTGATGAGTTCACTCCTACCGACAGATCTGCCGGGCGGGCAAACCACAGTTCAACGGAGAGAGAAAAGAAAATAGGGCATGAACTGTCAGCTGCTGCTCCACAACGTCGGTAGCTGAAACGATCACGTTGGCTTTTGATACGAAGACAGAAGAACCAAGTCGAGATGGCTAACAATATCTGAAGCCAGGCGTCCTAGGACGGCAGTAAGCTGTTTCCACGAATTGGCGGGCTCGATATTCTGTCCCCAACAAAAATGCCATCTGTCGCTGGCTCAGACTTCGGGTGCTTGTTCGGCTCGCGGCGCTGCGGGCGAGCCAGTGAGTCATTGTCCTTCCCGCGCGAAACTGGAGCTCGCCCTCGCGCATGTGATCTCTTTGCGGATTAGCGAAACCATCGCGATCCATGGATTGCCTCGCAAACCGTTCTCCGGAGAGGGTTGCGGGCTGCCCACTACACCTGCGGCCCGTACATACTGTACATATGTATGCGACCTCGCGGAGGCAGAGCTTCGCAGTAATCAGGGAACAGTAAACCCGGGTAGATAGCTAGCTATCTTGTTTCACCAGGCTTGTTTTATGCAGGCCAGGCCTCCTGCACGGCTATTATCGTCCGATGGAGAGATCGACAACGCAGCAGGGTCGCGGCATCCACCACCTCAGAGCGCGGCGTCTGATAGCATGCGAAACGTGCAAAAAGCTTGAACGTCCTCAAGGCCCACCGTGCCATCCGGACACGAACTGCCGGCAGCAGGCCTGCGTCCTCGCCCAGAGACAGATCCGCGGGTCCCGCACGCGCTTGTAGGCGAGAGGCGCGACCCGCGACGTTCATAGATGCGAAAGGGCATTCCCGTCTGCCTAGGCGATACAGACGTGTGTCGGCAGGCCGAATCGGGAGAGTAGGTATCAGTTGTAGTAATAGAAGCGGCAGAGGCAGAGGCACACCAGACCGTGCCGTTCCAGGCGAGGTGCGGGACTGTCTCTGCAAGATACCGAGAGACAAGAGGCCGCCGATGCCAATAGAATTCCACGAGCCTTTGTCTGGGAGATGGAGGGAGAAATGGAGTGGAGGAGTGGAGAGGAGGAGGGAGGGGAAGAGGGAGGGAGGACTGGGAGTCGGTCAGAGGGAGAGGACGCCAGCCTCCTCCTGATTTGCGCATCGCGGAGGTTCCGATGCAAGATCTCGTGTGGGTTCTCGGCTGAAGAGCGAGCTGGTGATTTGCGGATTTGCCCTTAGCGAGCCGGCGAGATCCGCCGATCGCGAGTCCCGGAGGGTTTCCTGGCAGGATAGAGGAGGGCGTCAAGCCGGCAGCTACACGCATCCACACCCACCCCTATCCACACACACACGCATGCACACATACCACACACACATACTACACACACATACATACCACACACACCTACACGCACTTACACAAGCCACAGCGTATACACCACTCTCCGCCGAAGCGGGAGGCGGATCCCCCGCAAAACTCGAGCCCGAGCCGACACACCCTCTCCCGTCGTCCCTCCGCCCTCCCTCTCTGTATCCCTACCTGTGTCCCTCCCTCCCTCCTCTGCCAGCCCTCCCTGCAGGCGTAGTTCGGTCAACACACACAATCTGTCAGATGCATGCCGACGCCGTTTGGGGCGGTGGATCTGAATCAAATGACGACATAGAGTGATACTCGCGACCAGATTGAGGTTGAGAGGGGGGGGTTGCTGCCGCCGCCGCCGCATGCACCGGCGATACATGCATCCATAGTGTCCAGAAACGGAGAGAGAGTGTGTGTGAGCGAGGCCCTTCGGCGTGTCTTATTTTCTGACTGGTCATGAAACCGGGCAGCTCATACGACGAGAGCTCCTCCACACCGCCTAACGACTTGCTGGTCACTCGACCGCCGTTCGCTGCTTACACTACGCTGCACCGCATTACACCACACACGTACTTACTAGACTCGAGGCGTATATATGTATGTATGGCTTGACTTGTATGTACGTGTGCACGTATATGGCCGTCGCGAGAGGGAAAAAGGGAAAAAAATTGCTCCGGTATTGGCCGAGGTAGTAGACGTCATCACATGAGTATGGGAGTGTGTGTGGAGTGGGTGCTAGGGTTGCTCGTCTAACTTCCCGAACGGGATTTCCTTTCTTTTTCTTTCTTTTCCCTCCTTTCCCTAGCCGAGTGCGAAATGTTTCTGCCTGGGCTCTGGGTGTAGGCCTCCCTTGCGTCGCGGGAGGGAACATCCGCGAGAAATGAGGCGGCAGTGCCTAAGAGAGGACGGGAGATGAGGAGACGAGGCCGATGGCAAGCAAGCATGGGGGAGGGTGGTTTGAGCCCAGAGCCTCCCCCTCGCTCGCTCGACCGGCAGTCCCAACGCTCCCAGCGTCCGAAGGATTTCGGGCACGTCCCCGTCCCCTCGGCCCCCCGTCCGACCTAGCAGGCTGGTCCCGGGTAGATCTAGCTTAGAGCGTTTGGGGTTGACGATGGCTTCGTCGTCGACGACAACGCCTCGCGCCTCGCCGGGCGCCGCCGCAACTATCCGCCCGTCTCTATCTCCGGAGGCGAGAGGTCTCGCAACTCGGGGGTAAAATACAAGCGCGAGCGCGAGAGACAGGGTCGGGCGTAAGAGCGAGTCCGACGGCGCCCTTTAGGCAAGACAAAACAATACGATCTACGCGCGCCACGGGCTGGCGAGCTCAGACTGCAACCCCGGAACATGGTTCGCATCCGCTTGACACGGGTAGCCAGGAAGGATTTCCGAGCAGCGGTCCGGGGCTCGTGCCGTGAGTTGCCTAGACGGCCAGACCAGGTCGCTACACAAGCTTTATTCCGACGCAAACTGAGGGGAGGGGGGGCCAAGAGGAAGAAAGGGAGTAGAGAAAAATAAGGGCTGGGCGGTTTCGTTGGTCTAGAATGTAAGACAGCCTTTTTTTCCTCCGTTATTACTACAGCTATTATAGTGGTCATTATCGTTTTTTTACCCTTGCGATAATTATTATTACTCTCACACAGGCATATTTGAATCTACATGTACCCTTCCAATGCTCGCTCTTTGCAACACTAACAACAACAAAAGAAGGCAGCTGACCTGCGATGGGCTTCGGATGGGTCTGTTCCCATCGATGAATCGGATCTATCTGCTGTCCGGCTTACCAAGACAATTTCATGG